CATAAAAATCCCATGTTGTCACTTGTTACTAGCAAAATAAATGGTTTGGCTAGGTTGTGGATACATCAGAGATAATTTTGCTAAATTCTCTGCCATTTAGGAGTTAAATCACTTTGTTTATGCAGCCCTTGTTACATATATCTGCACGTGACTTTCACAGCCTTCCTAAACACTTCCTGTAAAGTGAGATCTGATGTTTACACTTGCCTTATAGCACAGTCTGTTTAATTTAGAATTTCTTATCTCTTGCACCTGCAGAAGATAAAAACTTCTAAAGTAGGTTAACAACTGACTGAAATGAAACAACATTTTCTTTTTCCATGCAGGTTGTGTAAGTCACTGTAAGGTTGTGGCTAGGGCTGTATCAACACAGTGATTTAACTCCTAAATAGCAGATAATTAAGCAGTGAGACTGCAGGGACATAATCTATACACAAAAAACTGCTTCATTAGGTGAAAATTGTTTAGGTGACTATAGTGTCCCTTTAATGAAAGAGAAGCAGAGCCTTCTGTCAGGAGAAAAGTGGAAGGGATGAGAAAGGATGTAATATATGCAGAGATGGAATAGAGAGTAGAGGTGCGCTTTGTGAGAGTTAGGAATATAAGCTTAGTCTTGAGTGAATGTGGCCATGAAGAGGGGCTCTGCAGAAAATAAGTAATGAATAAAAGAAGAGTCGCCAGACAGTTGCTATGGTATGGAAAACATTTGTGAGGAAGCGCAATAATGAGTTTGTGTCTATCAAATATGCAAAAATTGAAACTTGATTATTTTATCAATGCAAAAAAATTAATTGTAGAGACACACTATAATATATATATTAAAGGTTGTAAAAAGTATTTCTTTAAGTGTTGTAGAACTATATAGTTTCAACAGTAACTATGTAGCAAGCTTTTAGAATGACTGATCATCATGGGATTTGAAGTTCTAAAACATCTGGTGATCCATCTGGTCAGTTAGTGACTGTTTAATAGGGCTGTGGTTGTCAGAATCACCATGTGATACATGAAAAGTGCTGCCCTGTGGTATGCAGAATTCACATGCTCCAGGATCAAGGGGCTGCCCCACAGTATGCAGAATTCACATGCTCCAGGATCAAGGGGCTGCCCCACAGTATGCAGAATTCACATGCTCCAGGATCAAGGGGCTGCCCCACAGTATGCAGAATTCACATGCTCCAGGATCAAGGGGCTGCCCCACAGTATGTAGAATTCACATGCTCCAAGATCCAGGCTGCCCCACAGTATGTAGAATTCACATGCTCCAGGATCAGTAGGGGCTGCCCCACAGTATGTAGAATTCACATGCGCTAGGATCAAGGGGCTGCCCCACAGTATGTAGAATTCACATGCTCCAAGATCAAGGGGCTGCCCCACAGTATGTAGAATTCACATGCTCCAAGATCCAGGCTGCCCCACAGTATGTAGAATTCACATGCTCTAGGATCATGGGGATCCCCACAGTATGTAGAATTCACATGCGCTAGGATCAAGGGGCTTCTCCACAGTATGTAGAATTCACATGCTCCAGGCTGCCCCACAGTATGTAGAATTCACATGCTGGGAAACCAATAACCCACCCGAGCCATGTCTCCAGAGATCACCCTTCCTCCCGGCCCAGCTCAGCCCGGTGTTCTATACGCTTACCCGCAGGAGCCATAGGATGAGGCAAGGTCACTGTACAGGAAAGCTCAGGCTTCAAACTGGCACGTACTACGCATACTTCCTGGTGTGACGTCACCACGCAACGACCTTTCCGCTAGAAAAGCACGTGACTGTGTAATCTTGCCCTTTACTACTTTATTGCCCTCAATGATGTGTTTATAGTATAGGAGTTATATATTATATACATAGTATTAAATTAACACCATAATCACTGCCCATCAAAGCCTGTATGGTGGCAATGTCTGAACTGGACTACATTTCCCGGCATGCTCAGCTAACCATGTCAACTACTTGGCATCACGGGAAATGTAGTCCATAAAAACCTAGACAGACAAAAAGTAAGCTCTCCATGCACTTTGATGTCTTCTAGATCATGCAGTAAGGAATATGAAGCTTCATCTGTGCAGGGAAAACCTTGTTACATTTTAATATTCAGACACTGTAACCATGATTTGGTATAAATGTGTAAAAGGATGAGCAGATTATGCTAAAAAGGCTGAAGTTGGCATCAGTGTTTACATATGTGCAATGCACAGGCAGCTATATGTAGTACTGGGAAATATAAAACCAGCTGAAATAAAAATAAAATAAAAAAGTCAAACATAAAATAAAAAAAAAGTCAATCAGAAATATGGCTAGGAGGTTTGACTCCAAGAGGCTGCCGTAGTCCAGGTTCCATATTTGGAATGGGCAGGAAGTCTTCCTATGGCATGGAGCTGGACTGCTGCTGCCCTCACAAGGTATCTATTTCCTTACAGTGTGAGCAAAACGTGCTTTATGATGGTTTTTATATGAATGCATTCAAAGACAGGGGTGTGAGGGGAATAAACAGCAGGTTAAAACACAAATAACCAGACAGGTAATTAATTAACATAATTAATTATTATTGCAATGCACCAATGGGTCATACAAACAGTATATATGTATTGGCTATACTCCTGCAGTGTTTCCTGGATACAGATTGGACTGCACATGAAAAGTACTGCCCTGCAGGGTGCACTAATTGATATGTTGATGGAATTTAAGTGGAGTTGCCATAACTGAAGTTTTTGTAAATCCCAAATAATTAATAAAATCTAGCTATGGGTTGTGCTTTTATTTTAAATATATATATATATATATATATATTTTAATGTTGTGTTTCTATGGTGTGGCAGGCTCTATATTGTACAGTGCTGTACACATTCACAGAGCAATATTAAAAGATTTTGAGAGTTTAAGAGCTCATACAGATACTCCAGTGCGTCGTAGGTTGTTATTTATATAAATACCAAAGTTTAGATTTTTTTTTGTATATTTGGAAGCACAATGAAGGAATTAGGCGGCTCTGTCACTTTTTTTCACCCTTATGCATGTCCCACCTCTGCTGCCCTGTTTTTTGCATTCATTTATTTTTAAAACAAACTTATTTTTAAAGTTATGCCTAAAGGGGAAAGGACTACAGGTTGACAAAGGATGGGGCTTTAAAGGACCACTATAGGCACCCAGACCACTTCAGCTTAATGAAGTGGTCTGGGTGCCAAGTCCAGCTAGGATTAACCCTTTACTCTGTAAACATGGCAGTTTCAGAGAAACTGCTATGTTTATTGACAGCCCCTAGAGGCAGTTCCACTTTCACAGTGAGAAGACGCCAGCGTCCATAGGAAAGCTTTGATAATGTTTTCCTATGGACTGGCTGAATGCGCGTGCGGCTCTTGCTGCGCATTCGCATTCAGCCGGTGACGGAAGAAGAGGGAGGAGAGCTCCCCGCCCGGCACTGGAGAAAGAGGTAAGTTTAACCCCTTCCTCTCCATCCATCCCGGCGGGAGGGGGACCCAGAGGGTGGGGGCACCCTCAGGGCACTTTAGCGGTCCTTTAATCAAACTCCACTGCCTTTGTCATCGGCAGTGCTCACCTTCTTCCAGCGTTGCGTCACATCCTAGAGCGCTATGTCACTGGCAGTCTGTGTTCACTCTTGCGTTGTCAACACATTTGACCTGCCCTTTAGACTGTAAGTTCGTTTGAGCAGGGTCCTCTTCATCCTATCATTCCTGTAAGTTTTCTTGTAATTGTCCTATTTATAGTTAAATCCCCCCTCTCATAATATTGTAAAGCGCTACGGAATCTATTGGCGCCATATAAATAGCTATAATAATAATGCAAGGAAGGGCAGAATATGGACTTCCTGGCCATCACCATTTTAGAAACACAAAGATGGCAGAGGCGTTCGAGAATTCCTGGTGAGATCGGCACATTGTTGGAATAAATAAATTCCATGTGTACTCGGGCCTAAAATGGGTGGGGGGGCTCTAGGAAGACATTAGTTGGCTTGAGGGCCGGACAAAACATTAGTGACAGAGCCGCTTTAATTTTTACTTTACTGTTTGGATTTGTTGAAATATTACTGTTATCTGCTATAGCCTGCGCATGGAGTAATTATTACCAGGGAAGGGTGGAGGCTGGGTACTAATTTTGATTAATTTGTCTGTCAGAAATACATGTTATAACTTACAAATAGTAAGACTTCTGCTTTTGTTTTGGAAATCTCTGTGATGAGGGGAAAACTGAGAGCTTAACAGGTTACCACCTATTGAATGTACAGAGCACCCACCAGCACTGTATAATAAGTAGCACACACCTTATTCCTGTAGATTGACCGTCCTTTGATGCACTAATCACTAATAGAATATTAAAGGGACACTCAAAGCACCAAAACAACTTTAGCTCAATGAAGTCCTCCTGCAGTCTCTGCTTAAGTTACTGCAATTTAGGAGTGAAATCACTTTTATAATCACTTTTATTTAGGAAGCCCTCGCCACACCAGCGTGGCTAAAACTCACACAGCCTCCCTACAGATAGGCTATTAATCTTAATAGCCTATTAGCTTTACTTATTGCTCTGTAATTTCATTTAGAACTTGTGTTCCTGACCCTATAGTGTTAAACTAACTATTTAGGTTGCCAACCCCCCTTTATTCAACTTAAAGGGATCCTATAGTGCCCTCCTCCCCCTCCCGTGAGGCTGAAGGGGACATCGGCACTGGGTCAGGCTCCGCCCACGCTCCTCCCCAGCCTACATCAGCCAGAGGGTGAGACCTAAATCGCATGCGCGGCAATGGCCGCACGCTCATTAGACCTCCCCATCGGAAAGCATTATTCAATGCTTTCCTATGGGGAAAATATGATACTGGAGGTTCATGAGCCACAGAGGGCAAGCTTAGAGCTGCAATATAAACATTGCAGTTCTCTGGAACAGCAATGTTTTACATTGCAGCACTAAGTGCAAAAGGGACCCAGCACCCAGACCACTTCAATGAGCTGAAGTGGTCTGGTTGCCTACAGTGTCCCTTTAAAAATGTATTTTACTCACCTTTATTCCCGGTGTTTGCCCCACCTCCGACTTGTCTCCTTGGCTGACATCAGAATTGATGATCTCAGCCAATCACAATGCTTTCCCATATGAAAGCATTGGATTGGCTGAGATGGTCATTTCTGATGATCTCAGCCATGGAGGTGGGCCGGCAGCGGAGCCAAATGCCACCCTGGCCAATCAGCATCTTTTTATAGAAATGCATTGAATCAATGCATATCAATGGGGAAAGATCAGCTACTCCATGCAGAGTGCGGAGACGCTAAACATCAGTGCACTGTACAGCACTGACCCAGGAAGCACCGCTACTAGCCATCTGAGGATTGGCCACTAGAGGTGTTCCTATGGAGCAATATTTTTTTCTGAAAAATCAGTGTTTACATTAAAAAGCCTGTAGGGACAGACTATACTCACCAGAACAACTACATTAAGCTGTAGTTGTTCTGGTGACTATAGTGTCCCTTTATATTAGGGATGTGCATGGGCAAAAAGTTCGGTTTGGTTCGGCACTTCCAAAATTCGGGACTTCGGATCGGTTCGGCAATTCCCTACCCCCAACCCTAACCACCAGACCCACTTACACATCTAGGGTTAGGTTTAGATTCCTGTCATTATTCTCGTCATTTTTCCCTCCCTCTCTTGTTTTGCCACTTTTCAGAAATTTTTGAAGCACTACGGCACTTCTGAAATTCGGCAATTCAGACATTCGGAACGAAACAAGTTACACATGTCTACTTTATTTCAATGCCTTGTGCTGCTGTAAGATCTGATTGAAAATGAAACCTTTTCTTCATGGAGGTTGTGTGAGTCACAGCCATGGGAGGTGTGGCTAGGGCTGTATAAACAAAGTGATTTAACCACTAAATGTCAGATAATTTATCAGTAAGGCTGCATAGGCAATATATGCACACCAAAACTACTTAATTAAGCTAATGTTGTTTTGGTGCTTAAAGTAATCCTTTAAGGATAAGAGCATGTTGGCCAATGGATTGGCATACTTGTTGAAAATTGGAGTGAATCAGAAATTTCTCAAATTTTAACAGCTGAGACCTATGCCAAAACTCTCTTATGATAATTGTGGGTTTAATTTAAAGCTCATTCAGAGGTGGGTTGGACATTTTCAGAATATAGTAGAATTGGTGAATATCATCTCAAATGTTGCTGACATTGTCTTGAATTGGTATTTGAAGTAGGTTTTTTTTTTTTTTTAACAGATTTTGAAAATGGAAAAACACATTTCAGCACTAGCAAATTAAATACAGTCTGTCACTTTTGAATTTCTCAGGAAGATATCTTTATATCTAAAAATATTGGTCAGATCTCGTATCTATATATCTTGTATTAAGAAACACATAAAGTCTGCATTTTAATTTAACTGAAATATCAGTTCAATCAAAACATATCACAAGATAAATTAGAGTTTATTTTGTTGTTTAAATAAGTTTTTTGTTTGGGCAAAATGTGGTAATGGGCAGATGTCTGCCTCCGCATCTTACTATTTAGCATCTGCTATCAACGTGTCTCATGGGGCCTTGCACCTTCTCCTGCTAAGCACAATAGCTGTCTACTGCATCTCATTGCACATATGCGAAATGATCCGTGAAGATACCCTGTTATTGCCGTGTACTTTAGTGCAGGAATAGGCAACCTGCGGCACTACAGATGTTTTAGACTACACATCCCTTGATGCTTTGCCAACATTATGGGTGTAAGAGCA